TACTGATAATATTTTATTATTCTACAACTCGAGCGTTCTTGAACCTGCACACATTTATAACGTTTACTGCTTAAAGTACAAGACAATCCGGATGCGAGGTTGACTGTTGTATATTCTACTATTCCCGATTACAGTTATACTCAAACGTTTCTTATTATGTAATGAATCAATAAAAACTTAGTATAATAAGTTTTTATTAATGCACAAATATTTTAATCCACGTGAGATTGTAGCACTGATAGAAAATTAGTAATTAATTTAATTCAGTTCACATGGTTGCGTTAAAGCTTTTAATGCGTATCAATCAACAAAAATTGAGATTATTTTACTATTAACAATGATTATGATATAATATTGTAGTATTCAATATTTTGATAATTGTTATACTATGGCGAAAGGAGGATAAAAAATGAATCCTACAGTTTTATATGTTGTGTTACAACTCGGTAGACTGTACAATTATTAATATATATAAGACCGATATGAACTTATTATTCTTATTTCTCATTTAGTGAACAATCTTATTTGTTATAACTTATTTGTGAATAAAAATTGGTTTAACCTGTGATTCCACAATTATCTAAAAAAAAATCAAAATTAGTTTATTTATCGCCATAGAAAAATAATGACTTTCTATTCAATACATTATAATAATAATATAAATTTGGTCTCAATTGCTTAGCATTAATATGCTGTAACAGAACGGTTAATCAGATAAAAATTATTAAAATAAAGTAGTTTGCACATTTTAGCTTCGATACGAAGTTAATTTTACCAAAACGGTAGCACAGTGGGGTGGCGGCACAGTGGGGTCGTGGCATAGTTGGGTCCAGTATAGATGATATCTGACAGTGATTAAAATCACTATAAAAAAAAAACGATTCGATGCAAATCTGTAGATAGTGCTTAATTAAAAAAAAAAAAAATTTGTTAAAATAGCATATTTTTGAATATGGTAGCCATTTGCGCATAGAAGATAGGTCGTCGGGACAAATTTTTTTTTTTCATTTGATAGTATATAACATAACCTTTGATTTAATGTATGTTTAAAGGACGCAGTATTTCTGGAACATTTTCAAAAGTTCAGTTAAAAAAGATCTATGTTTTTTACAATATTTCAAGTTTTGAACGCCCCTTATATAAGGGGAAATTGTCCAATTTTAATAAAAAGTATGTCAAATGAAAGATGTACTTATAATATATTTAGAAAAAAAAATTTGTGCTGATATATACATTTTACAAAAAGTTATAGCATTTTTAAATTTAAAATCAAAAATCAAAAATTTTAACAAAAAATAGTTTTTTTTAACTACGGCAGCAGTTTAAATGTAGAAGATAAAGTATCGGGACAAATTTTTTTTTCCATTTTATAGTACATAAAATAAGCTTTAATTTGATATATGTTTAAAGGACGCAGTATTTCCGGAACATTTTCAAAAATTAAGTTGAAAAAGTTA